GCGTGCATGGCAGCCAGGGATGACAGCACCGAGATGACCAGCCGTCGATGCGCCTCCGGTGGCAGCTGCAGGCGGCGGAGCGTCTGGTGGATGAGCTGCAGACGGCGTCTGGTGGCCTTGGGCGTGGATGGGTCGCGCACCCAGCCGGCGCGGATGTGGAACAAGTCGAGGAGGGTGACCGCCCCGTCCCACACCTCGGCCGGCTGTGGGGGCGACTCGATCTCGCGCTTCTCGTCGGCCTCATCGCCACTGTCGCCGACGTCGGCGGCCTCCTCCCGCGGCGCGTCGGAGAAGAGGAAGTTGATCAGCGGCGACCCCTCGAGGCTGCCCATCAGCCGCTCATGCTCCGCCATGAACTGCTCCCACTTCTCGTCAACTGAGACGTATCGGACACCCACACACACCCACACACACACACACACACAGAGAGAGAGAGAGAGAGATGGGCTGTCGCCGTCATGAACGTCTGGCTGTCTGGCGGATTGTCTTACCCTGGGGGTCAGGCGCTGCGGAGGCAGTCGGTTTCTCCGTCGCTGGCGACGGCGGTGACGGCTCTGCTGGCGGCGACGGCAGGGCGGGTGGTGGCTGCTGTTGCTCCAACGTCATGCGGTCGGCCTCCGTCAACATCGCTGAGTGGGAGAAATCAACAGCCAAGGCAGAGACACACACATGCAGACAGACACACGTGTCCCCTCCTCTGTCATGTGCAGCCCATCCACACCTGCGTATTCCGATATCATCACGTAGCCCTCGATGAGGGCCTGCACCATCCTGTTTGGCGTCGACGGCCTCTCCCCCTCATAGCCCACCTCACGGTACTTGTGCCATGCATCGTCCATGAGCGCCACCGACCGCCGACCGCCGGCCCCCACGGCGCCGAAGGCCAGCATAGGGACGGCAATCGGCAGGCCGTCATCCCCCACGACGCCCTTGAGCGCCTCGATCGCCTCCGCCTCGACCCTCAGCTGCCCGTTGAGCCGCTCCTTGGTCCCCTCGTCCAGCCGCCAGATGGCGTCGGGGACGATGCCCTTGAGCATCACTCGACGGCCGTCAGAGTGGCCCTCGATGATGGCGTACTTCTCGCTGCGGCGGACCATATAGCGGCCCGCTGGCTGGAAGGCCGCCAAGATGGCCTGCGCCTCCTCTGACATGCCCTCCTGTGGTGCTGCTGGTGGTGCTGCTGGTGCTGCTGCGGGTGAGTCGGCGACGGCGAGGGGCAGCAGGGGCGAGCCCGAATCAGACGGGGCGGCGAGCGGCAGCAGCGGTGATGAACCGTCAGAGGCCTCACCATGGCCAGCAGCGGTAGATGGCGGCGAGGGGCTGCCTGGCTGCTCCTGACGCGGCTGCGATGGCTCAAACAAACGGTCTGACGATCGAGACCAACATACAGCAAACAGGACAATGATCGGTCAGGCCAGACCTCCCTCCCTCCCTCTGTCTGTCTGCCTCCCCGCCATGCCGTCTGTGTGTGCCCCGTCACCCACTCGCTCACCTTCTCCAACGACAAATCCTACGCAGTCCTCACTCACACCAGCATCATGCACTACAGCGTCGTGCCCCTCGACGGGTCCTCCCTCCTGACCCTCAGCCTCCTCCCCATGGTCCTCCTCATCGGCCTCCTCACTCCCCTCGCTCTCGGCCTCCTCAATGGCCGGCTCAGGCCCTTGGTCCCCGGCTACTGGGCGCAGCTGCCGCAGCTTGGACAGGCTTAGGCAGCCTGGTGGGGGCAGCTGGCGTCCCCGAAAAACAGGGCGCAGCAAACACCGCTGCTGCTGCTGGGGGGGCCGCCAGATCTGTGGCCGTCGGTCGTGCGACAGAGACTCCCCTTCCCCTCCCTGCTGAAAGCCACGATGTGGCTCAGCTCGACGCATTTCATTCCCAGTCAGCCGCGCGATATTTGGACGATAAGTCGTCCTGGGTGCTGCGGTGGGCTCGGCGCGCTGCTGGTGCTGAAAGGCCGCCCTTGATGGCGGATAGCGGCAGTAGATTGGCGGCCTGTTGGTGCTGCTGTAGGGGGCTGGCTGAGGCGCTGTGGCTGCCAGTGACTCCCCCGTGTGGGCGGCGGGCGGCGAGCCCTGACCGTGTTGCCACGGACTCGCCATTCCCAGCCCTTGTCGAGCGACCGACCCGCCGGCAGTGTGGCCCTTGTTGGCCGATGAAGGCCCGCCCTGCGTCTTGCGGCACCAGGTGGTGCCGCCCTGCAGGTAGTGGAGCGGGCACTTCTCGAAGCCGCAAGAGGCCATCAACTTGCCAAACGAGGTCAGTTCGCTTTGGTCACCACGAGCCTCCGGCGCCTTTAAACCAGGGGGCTTCTGGCGGGCGGGCGGGTGCAGCTCGTGGGA